GCATAGCCCCCCCCCCCACCCACGTGAACGCTCTAGAGGTCAGAGTTTTCAAGCCATACAGTGAAACAGGCGCATTTTCAGCAAGAAATTGTGCTTTATTCGGCCAATTCTGTAGCCATGGCAATCAAATCGATAGTTGTCATGACCAAACCATGACTATGCCCACACCAAATATCAAAGGAATTGATTGAAATCTGTGGCCTGTAGAGCGTCTACAAGAAAATCTTGATGAACGCGGATGCAGCAGCGGAGACGACTACCAAGAATTCATAGTAGCTGCCCGACTTTGTCCAGGGGCTGCGATAACCTAACGACAGTATCAGCTACTGAGCTGCAGAGGAGATGTACATGAAAATCCCTGTTGATTAGTCTTTACCCGTTTTCAAAAATAACTGACAGTTTTCAATGAGATCATTTTTTAATTTAGCAGATACACTCACTTTCACATACTTATCAAAATGCAGGATGCAAGAAGTGGTGCGAAGTTGCATTAAGCAGCTCCATTTGTTTTAGTGGCTCGGTCACTTACAGTTTAAGCACCACCATAAGCCTTAACTTGCGCCTGTGTAAATATGAACTAGAACACATAGCGTGGCAAAGCACTCATTTACCACAGCCAACAGGTTGCTAGCCAGATATGCCCTATTGAGCTTCCCACAAATGCGTCTCCCCTGGTTGACAGAATTTGCGAAACAGCTTGGTGGCCTGATTTAAATTTCCAAAAAATGAAATTAGGGTAAATTATAGAGATTTTCGGTGTGACAAAACTTATACCAGACCCGTGAGCAGTGTTTTGGCAAAGCTGGAGCAATAGCACGCCTTACAACTCCCAGCAAACACAGACAGACAGAGGTGCAGCCAATCATAGCAGTAGCGTGTTGTAAAGTCGGTGCGCTGCTGCCCCCTCGTGGCTCACCTCGGTATCGCCGCTGACCCGGTGCTGCTGGAGGCTGAGGGTGAGCAGGCCCTGCTGCTCGGGCTCCTGCTGGCACTGCACCTCGGTGATGGGGAAGGCCTGCTGCTGCGTGTCCTCGCTCAGGCTCACCACAAACAGCACCTCCCCAGTCAGCAGGAGGCAGCCCGCGTGCTCCTGTCCTGAGCCGCTCACGATCGTCACCTCCAGCGCCATGTGCACCTCCGGCCGGCCCAGGGACTGCAGCATCTTCCTGCAGGGAGAGCAGCACAGGGACGGGCTCAACTGTGACACACACACTGGTGCTCAGGGGCAGGGACACACACACACACACACACACACACACAAGCAAACACGCATACACACGCATACACACACAGGCATACACACGAACATGCATGCACACACAAACACACACACACACACACACACAAGCAAACACACATACACGCACGCACTGACAGAGGTTCAGCTGCAACAAATATACACACACACACACACACACACACACACACACACACACACACACAAGCAAACAAGCATACACACACACAGGCATACACACGAACATGCATGCGCACGCACAAACACACACACACACAAGGAAACACACATACACGCACGCACTGACAGAGGTTCAGCTGCAACACATATACACGCACGCAAATACACACGCACACACACACACACACACACACACACGCATATACATGCATATGCATGTGCGCGCACACACAAACTCAAACACTTGCTCACTCATTCACACACACAGGCACAGGGAAATGCGCACAGATCCATGGACACACAGACATACAACACTGAGATGCAGCTACTGGAGAGATCAGCTGTACATACACACACACACACACACACACACACATAACTGCTTCAGTCACAGTGAGGCAAACACTCAGATCCCATTGATCAGCATGTGCAAACCACACACAGCTGACACTCCCGCTTGTCCGCGGCCTGCACTGCACACGTTGACATGACTTTTTAATAGGCATTCCTGCCTCGTACAAGTGTGCCTGACACGTATGAAATCGCTGCGGAGGCAGTAATGAGGCGGATGTCGAGTGCAGCATTAAGGAACGGCCTTGCTGTGCTCTGTTCAGTGTAGAGGCCCAACTCAGCTGCACACTAGCAGCAGCGGAGGCCCACGGCGAGATCGCCCCCGCAGTCGCCGAGCGCCTGGTTTTCCTCACTCACTCAGCCCTGCTCAGTGCCCCAGCTCCCTTTAACAGCACCAGCGCTTCAACGCAAACCTCCCCTACAGCCTCCGTCAGCGAGGGAGTGTGGTGCACATGTTGGGAATGCTGAGGCCTTCCGCGTACCCGACAACATCCTCTCTGTATCGCTAATGAAAAATGACAACCTGCCCGGTAATTGGTGATTGTGTAATGATGCCGGTCACCAACTGAACTCTTCAGTTTCCAAAGGGCCCAACTCCAAGGAACACTCTTGTTCAAAAAAAGCGAAAAATTTATTTATTTATTGCTGCCCATATGGTGTGACCTGTATATTTTTAGTTTATTTATTTACAAGAGAGTGTCATTGGGATACTTTTGGCTGAAATTACAAGAAAGTTCCCCTTTTTGTTATAAGATATGCAGACCTCTGATTCACTGCAGTTGGGCCCTTTGGAAACTCAATGATTCAATTCTGTTCCAGGAGACGACCATTCTATTGGCTTTCACCTCAACCAACTTGGCACAGCAAATTCTATGAATTAGTTTCTCACAAAGATCTTGAACAGTTGAATGAGACATACAAGGATGGGGTTGGAGTGATGACCCACAGGAATTCAGTTGTATGAGCACTAGTATGAAACCGAGAATATCAGCTCAAAGGATGTCTCTCTTTTGCTGCAGTAAGAGCAGCAGGGACAGGACACAGCATACAGACATCAGTGTATGGGCTACAAGGCTGGAGGTCAGCAGACCGGCTCTTACCAGGCGTATTTGACCTGACTGTTAGGGGCCTGGGCTGATTTCTCCTCGGCAGGAAGGTAGAGCTGCCTGGGCAGCTGCCACAGGCCTGCACCATGCAGGATGCCTTCAAAGAAACAACATCAGGGTTGCTATTCCAATCACACTGATATTCAGTTACATATTCAAGACAGATGCCCATAGAGATATTTCTGCAGGACAGTCGCCCGCATTTGATTACATGTTCAGAACAGCCATCCACACAGTTACATGTCATGACAGTCGTCCAAACAAAGTAACATGTTCATGACCGTCGCCCACACGATGTTTCATGTTCAGGACAGCTACTCTCACAGAGTTACTAACATGTTCAGGACGGTCACCCGCACAAGGTTACTTACATGATCAGGACAGTCACCCACACAAAGTTACATGTTCAGTACAGTCACTCACACAGAATTACGTATTCAGGATAATCATAAAAAGTAGGTTGTCCGAATCCATTTCAGGTTGTCTAGACAACCAGAACACTGTTAAGTGCAGCAATATCACAGAAGATGACGCCATTACTCTGGGATGGTGTAGGACAGATAGCATGTACTTGTATGTGTGTGTATATGGGGGTTATATATTTATGTAATAATAACATATATAACCAGCAGGACAACGCATTATATGAAAGGGAATGTTAAATCAGCCCAACAGAGAGTTACGAAGAGGAGACATTTCTCTGAAATAGAGTGGCAATTTGTAATCAGCAGACGATGGCCATTGACCTGTTAGCCCTTGACATGTACTTTTCCCCAAGCCACCCCTAAAAGAACATGACACCCGCCTCCAAGACTTCAAGTCTCACACATAATGCTGATTTTCTGCTGCTTAGCCAAGAGCCCCCACATATCAGGGCTAACAGCTAATAAACAATGCCTTCAGCCCAACAGAAACAAAAGAAATGCCTGTGCAATAGACCAATTTATTCCAATTTCAAGCAGTTTTTTCAGCTGAGGCCCAACATCACATCCACCAGTAATTACACATGCTGTAATCTCAAGGGGTCTATTCATGAACCCAACAATGTATTGTTAACAATATAATCTGTTTGATGCTTCACAGATGGCAAGATGTTGGACGTAAAAACAAAATAAAATCTTCATAAAACAATGCCCCTTGACTGAGAACATGCCTGAGGTATGTCCTGGAAACGAACTTCATCTGCTTTGACAAAACCATTAGAATCTCATTCATGCCAGTTTCAGTGTGTGTGCTTCATCTCACAGCGATTTTAAGGAAGGAGAATGGATCGTATATTCGTCATCCCACACCCTTCAAAGGATTCAACGTCTGTTCTGCCATTCAATTAATATAAAACTGAACATCAATGATGTGTTCTGTGTACATCATCTAGTCCAGCCAAGAAGGCCCCGAGCAATACATGGACACCACATAAACCACTGCATGAACATAAATGTACCACTTGGAACAGAATCAGGCTCGAGTCAATTGTAATACACAAAGAGTAATTACCATATCCAGTCTGAGAGACCAGCTCAGCAGCTCCCCCTATAGGTTTGGTGAAGACTCCCACAATGCCTTTCCCCACTCCGGAGATGACACCCTTGGCTTTGCTGCTGGCTGATACCTGCATGTCCCACGTCCTGTGGAAGTTCTGCATGGGCTGGTCCACAATGCCAGCAATGGCCCCTATAGGAGCACAAAGACACACACTGTCACTTAGCAATGATATGGACATAAACAGAGTCATTATTTACTTACAACTGTGCCCTCAAAACAAGGTCATCATTTTGTGTGTGAGTGCATGTGTTTGTGAATGTGTGTGTGGTGTTTGAGCATAAATTTGGGTGTGTGCATCTGTGTGTCCATGTGTTTGTGCAAGAGTGTGTGTATGTTTGTAGTTAATTAATTTATTGTTTTAACTACACTTTCAGTACATTACTCTAAGGCTACATCGTTTCACCAGTCGTCCCATTCCAAACACCTGTAGGAATCAAATAACTAACCATTTACCAAGATACTCATTTGTATGGGCAATGAAGAGTCTCCAATTAGCCTGATATGCATGTCTTTGGACTGTGGGATTAAACAGGAGTGCCCTAATTAACACAAACATGAGGAGGACATGCAATTTCAACACGGAACGGCACATGGCTGGAGTCAAACCCACAACCCTCTTGTCGTGAGGGGACAGCGCTATCCACTGCGCCACCATGCCACCCCCATATGTGGGTGATGTGAGCGTGTGCCGGCATGCATGTGTGTGGTACACATATGCGTGTTTGGGCATGTGTGTGCTTGTCTGCATGCAATGGTGTGTGTGTGTGTGCGTGTGTGTGTGTGTGGTGACTCGGGGCTGACCCAGCAGGCTGATCCCCAGGCGGGAGAGGCCCTGCCTCAGGCCGTCCCCCAGGCTCTCGGGGAGCTGTCTCCTCCATTCCTCCTGTCGCGTGTAGTGTTCCTCGTCCAGAGACAGCCGGTCCATGTTCCGCGCCAGGCTGGTGGCCAGGTTAGTGATGGAGGTCAGGGTCCCTACAGCGGGTGGGGGGGTGCGGTGACTTCCATTAGTCAACTCTTTAGGGTGCATGATCACAAATACGAGATCAAAATGCTCTGAGCTACATCCTCTAACACAAAAATTATTATTGACTACTGACTGATCAAACATCAAAAAAATCGACATCTTAAAAGGTTACACGAGGACTAAAATCCCAGCCTATCAACTGGGAGAGTCTCCACATTGATCCTGCAGTTTAACTCTTTTTGCTTCACCACAACTCAGCACTTCGGTCAATTAAAGCAGTTTCTCTCTCCTCACCTGAAGCCGTATTTATAAACACTGCAAGCGCACAGAAAGAGCCTCAGAATGTGCGTACACATACTCCCACTCAATCTTCGCCATTTATGAAATAAAATTTGACAGGAAACTTAAACACGTCCACAGCAAGTCTAACTCACGTGTAGAAGGAATTTTGGAAAAAGCTGGAATTAATGACCCCCATGGCGAATGGAAATGCAACCAACGACCTAAATAACTTTCTTCAGCCAATACTGCCGAAAGCTTCCAGGCTATTATTGATTTCACTGAGCCTTATCATAACCAGGAAACAATAAATCAATAATGAATGTCTTTAAAAAGTTATGAAGGCTAGTCATTTAAATCTGTGGGTCTGTCAGTTATGAATGAATACATTACTGCATGTAATCAGAGATCAGGGTTGGGATCACTGCTGTAGTCCTTTACAAGTTAAAAGATGAAACTGAGTGGTCAAAGGCAGGCGTGGAATGGTCACCTTTAGAGATGTGCTTGACAAACGAGGAGGTCCCGCGGGAGACCCCACTGACGAAGGCCCCGGGCCCCCGGGTTAGGCCCTCGTAGGGCAGGCGGAAGAAGTCAGCGATGCCATTTCCAATGCTGCGCACCAAACTGGCAGGACTGCCCAAGATCTCCAGAGATCCCACCACCCAACCTTACAATACAGAGGAGAGACACACAATCACACACCGGACAGAGAAACAGTCAACTCAGGAAATTTTAAATCAACGGGGAAAGTGTTATATGTACATATTTGCGTCAGTACTACTTTTATAATTGAGGTCCCAACTCTTATGCCATGTTCTATTTACCACAGAAGTTTGAAGTCAGAGCCAATAATAAGGTCAAACTCCAGTTTATGTGTTCCGATACAAGTCGGAAATCAGGCTTATTTCACATGGTGAGGTGAAAGTGGGGTTTACGCTAGCCATGTTAGCCATTCTTAGCAACACCGGTTGAAAAACAACGCATTATGCGGTATTTTGCTCATACAAATGCTATAGCAGCATGTTCGCAGATGAGGGTGGACAATACTCAGTGTAAGAGTGTGCTGATGAGCCACAAATAAGACAGAAGTGCAAATAGACATAGAGGATCTTTCTTACCAAGAGGGCGTGTCATATTAAAGTTATGAAACGAGTAAATTTTGCGTTTTGCTCAAAGTTTACTCAACAAGTTTTATAACTGTCATATGACACGACCAAGAGAATAAGATTCTATTTTTCACATCACTGAATCGCACAATTTAATGGGAAAAAAAACTTAATTTCTGTTAGCGCCAGTAATAGTAGCTAATTCCATTATGTTAGCACTGAGCTAACGCCATAACTCTGATACTCCGCAAGTCACTGAGTCACAGACATTTCGCTGCTGAACTAGCCATGGTTTTTAAATTCAGTCAACTCAGTAGCTAGCTAGCTGACAAACAAATATTACATAATCGCTTTGGAAAGGTATTCCGCATGCTGGCTAGCTAGCTCAGTAACGATAACTTAGTTATGAGAGTGGTACTTAACTGGCTCGCTACAGCGCTAAGCCATACCGATTTAACCAATGTTACACTTGGAATTCAATTTAACTAAATATTAAGAGCCTGATGTAATGCAGAGCCATTTTTTTCCACGCTCTCAGCTAATGAAATTTTCTCAAAATATTATCCTTGGGTAGTATCAAAAATATGTAGTGCTGGGCTATGGGAAAAGTACTGTAATTATGTATAATACTACAGCTTTGACTTTGTTGATACATGGATAAGTCATCTTGCATTTTTGGGTCAGGGTTGATGAGGTTCTCCTAATTTTCAAAGGCTGGAAATTTAACTTCGGGGGGCATTCCAGTAACAATTTTCAACTGGAAACTCAAAAAATCCAACTTCCCAGGTCAAATGGAAAGCAGCATTAGTTTCCCCAAAAAACAAAATGGTGCCAATCTCTAAGCACCACAGCTGGCTTTGAAAGAATCGACTGAATCACAACAGTCAGGATATGGCAAGGCACTTAGTAAGAAAAGAACCCCATGAACCCCGCGTTCTAAGATACCTAGTCAGTAATAAGGGCACAGTTTGGTATAAAGTAATGCAGAAACGCCAGCAGTGCATTTACGACGCTCAGGAGTCACACCTCATTACAGGAGCTGAATCCACAGGAAATACAGCTCATCAAAATTTAAAAGCACACTCAATTATGCTCTACTGGAACAGTCATCTTTATATGGGTCTTCGCAGATCATTATTTTGCATTAATGATGTCGCACACTAAGAAACGACTTTCAGCACTTTCTAATGGCTTCCACAGCAGTGTGTGGACAACATATCCTTTTTCCGAGGTGATGCTTCAAAGGCCTTCATGGCTTCCACTGAATGTTATTTCAATACTAGAAAGAATCACTTATTTGCATGATATAGCAAGATAAAATGAAATACTATTAAAACAGCATCTAACTAGGAGCAGCAAGGACTCCTCCAGCCTTTTAGGAGATCTCAGTGGTCAATATGACTCAGTATAAAAGCTTCCATATGCATACAGCTATGCACAGAAAACAGACTGTGATGAAACTGGTGAGCACGCAAAGAAAGTACTACTCCTCAGAGAAACTCATCCACCCATGATAATGTTTGACATCCAGAATTGTATTGAACACACTTTTAGATCTTATTCAATCAATGTCATGATGTACACATTCTTTCCATTGTCTGAAAGTCTGTTCTGCATGTGTATACCAGCTGAGATATCCGTACTGTACATGAGAGGAGCTTCAAATGAGATTCTTCACCCCAACCCAATGTGAGCATACCTATAGAAGGAACGTGCACACTTGTAAAAGAGATTGGCAGCACGTGAACAAAATTAAAACTTTGGAGCAGTCTAGACAAAGTCCTCACCTTAACCCAACTGAGATGCTGAGGCAGGACCTAAAAAGGCTAGAACCCTCCACTAAGGCGAAATTAAAACAATTTTGCAATGAAGAGTGAGTCAAAATTTACCCACAGCGATATGAAAGACTAATCGCTAGTTATCGGATGCATTTGTTTTCAGTAGCTGCTGATAAAGGTGGGAATACTATTTATTAAGAGTAGAGGCAATTACTTGGGTGATAGAGGTGCTGGATAGGAGTTTTCCTTATATAAATGAACTGAGCATTTAAGAATTGTATTTTGTGTTAACTCATTCTCTCCTTACTTTAAATAATCTAAAAACAAATCACTGGTCACAAAATGACGAAGAATTAACCAAATGGACTCCTGAGACCTTCCGGGTCACCAATTGCTTGAAAATAAGCGTCTTGAGGACAAGTCCATCAGGCTCACGTTTTGGCCAGATCAGAGTCTAGATGTGAAACCTAAAGGAACGTTTTTGTCTCACATTAAGCAGGGAAACGTTTTTTTGCATGCTTATCAACCGCTTTGAAGCCATCAAAATTGAGTGGAAAACACTGACTCCTTTTTCTATGACAAAACTGTCAGCAAATTTGCCCATAAGGCTTAAACATTCAAAGAAATCCAAGGAAAAACTATCCCAAATCTCAGTTACTTGATCTATTTGTTTAAGAAAAGCTAATTTTCAGACCAATGGTAAGTTGTAAAGACCATTAAAAGCTTCACATTTTGCCATTTGGGGCTTGGTCCATTTTTTTTGCTCAAGGAGTGCATACGCGAGTGTGCATATGTGCGTACAGATGTGCACACCTGAGACACGCGTGTCTGGTTGTACGAGAGAGACTCACCGGCCCTGAAGAGAGCCCCAGCAGCGTAATGCATGGCGAGTGCGTGGACCAGCTGGCGCGCAGTGGTGCAGAGGGGCCCCCTCTCGAACAGCGAGAAGGACAGGGGCGTGTGGTCCGAGGCGATGTACAGCTTGAGAGAGGCGTGGATGCTCACCAGCAGGCTGACTGGCTGGATGGAGAGTTTCCGCAGCTGCAGCGGGTGCACCAGGGCCTGCACCGACTGCCACACCCCCTCTGGGAGCTCCGCCCCTGGGCCCTGCCCCCCGGGCCCCCGCCCCAGGGCCGTGTCTGGGATGTAGGTGTGGAACAGGGTCTTGATGTAGTATCAAAGTGTCCTCCAGGTAGAGGCGGGCCGGTTTGAGCTGGAAGGCCACCTGGTCCAGGCGACGCTGGTCCCCGGACAGGGTGAGGCCCAGCTGCAGGAAGCAGGCGTTCTTGTACTCTTCCAGGGCGCGGGCGGACACGGTGGGGTTGGCGTCGCGAGTCCAGGGACCTGGCTCCTCCCACTGCTCCTGACAGAGCAGGACAGGAAAGTGGAAGCTGGCGCGGGTGTAGAGCTGGTTGTCCACCTGCAGGCTGGCGCAGTGGATCTCCACCCCCAGGGCTCCCAGTATCGCCCAGCCCCTCCCCGGCAGCGCCTGCGGTGGTGGAGGGCGCCAGGCTGAGCAGCAGCTTGGAGA